GAACTTTAACATACTTCTAAAAATTTGTTTATTTTGCAATTTAAAAATCTATAGACATTGTTGGAGTTACAGTAAACTCTCTCTAAGTGTAATTCATTGGGACCGGGCTTTTAGCAACATGAATTTAGAGAACAATTAAGAAAAATTGCATTTATAGAGACAAAACGTATACCAAACATATACTTGGGCCCGAAGTTAAAGCTGCATTTAGAGAGAAGTTGCACTTAGAGAGAGTTGACTGTATATGCAAAATTAAATTTTAAGCATATTTATCTAAGAACTAAAAGCAGATTATATTAATAAAATTTGAGATATTCCTAACTCTGTCCCAATGTCTTGTGCACAACATCGTTATATATTGTATGATATATTTATTAAAATAATATTTCGCATTATTGAAAAAACTACCTTGTCATTAAAATATTTAAAAATTCAATATTAAATGATTGCAGCAAGTTAAATCACATTACTGATTATTTATCTCAGAAAAAATCTTTTTTTTCTAAATCAGTAATAATATCAGGCATTTAACTCCATTTTATCGGCATGGAATGTTGGGTTATTATAAATATAATTTATCTTGACGATTTTTTGATTTTATAAAACATAATTATGAAAATAAAGTGAAGATAAAGGTAAGTCCGCTAGCAATAATGATTCCAATAACAGTGCCACTTATTCCCAGTCTTGTAGAAGATGATTTAGATGAAGTTGAAGATGTATTTGCTAAGAAAAATTAATTTGAAATGAATTAGATTGTCTCGAACATAATCCCCAAATAATTTTGAATAAATACTACCTTTTGTACCAGAACTGTCAGAACCTGCTAAAGAGATCATACCCCACATACCCATTTTACAGTGATTACCTACACCACAATAATACCAGATTTTTGAATCAGAACCATCAATTGTAAATATTACCATGCCACTAGTTCTTGCATCGGAAATAGCTAAAATCAAATAAATAAGACAGATTAATGAAACGAAAATAATATAAAAATTTAACGAATAATAAAGATAGAAATTACTAGCATTGCCGCTTTTAAGGGATGTGGATGGGGTACAGCTTCCCTGGCCATCAGATCGAATGATAGAGTGTTGGCCACCTGTCCAATTGAACTGGACCTATAATAATAACAATACAAGTGAGTAATAATATAGATATGTTAACAAATAATAATATTTGAATATATATATATTATATTAACAGATATAATATTTACCGTATCGCCTTTATTTACAGTAATGTTTTGTGGGCTAAAAGTTAACGAATCACCGCCGACAGCAACATTTATAGTTTCTGCTGAAACGATAGAAAGAATAATCAAGAATAAGGCCAAAAATGATAAATTACTAAAAGAACGATAAGTTGGCATTTTTATATATTTGTATAAAGGGTAAACATTAATTTATTAAAAGAAACAATTAGGGATACGAATATATGTACGTACGTAAAATGCATCATAATTTACACGATGGTAGTGCAAAAGTAGAATGTAACATTCGTTATTTATCATCACAAAATAAATTTTCAAAATTCGATACTAAAGAATTAATTCAGAAGCGGAGTCTATTGGATTAGAGTCAACCTTCATATATATTTTAGGCAGGAAATGTGATCTGCCAGCAGGCACGAAATAATATGAAAGGAGCCAAAATTTCCTAATTTAGTAATTTTTAATTAAACCTCAATCAACAAAATGTCGTGTCTCAGTGATGCATGTGATTTGTTTATGCGTAATACATAGATCGATTATCATTATTGAATTATCACGTTCCGTTGAGTTAAATGTATCCGGGTATTTATAAAAACTAGAAAGGTCTGGTATACATTTCTCGCTCAAATTTGCCAGTCTTCAATGCTTTAAACCAGCTAGATATTCTTCGAAGTGTAAAAATGCTGTTCTTCGAGATATAATAAGGATAGTACCTGAATATCAGATATAAATCAAAATTTACCATTGCATTGCGGCGAATTTACGAAATACCCCAAATTTTGAAAAATCTGACCACTAAGTTATAAATATAGATTTTGGCTGAGATAAAAAATTTTTCCCAGGCTAAGGTGCGTCGTTATAATAAT